AGCCTTTTGACTTCTCCAATGTTTCTGGTGATCTGTGAGCTATTGCAATGGATTTTGGGCATGTTGTAAAGCAGTAAGATTGGTGGTGGGATGATAAGAAAGAAATGTTTGACATCATGGAAACGGATTTTGTGTTGTTGATGGGGACAGCTCTGCTCTGTAAAGTTGGAGTCAAATATGGTTGTCCCCATGTGGCTCCTGCTCTTTTAATAGGTGTTTACCATGTGTCTGGCACTGTTAGGTGCTAAAAAATTGATGGTCAGGCAAGTCCAGATTCCATTCTCAAAACTCAGAATGTTCAATAATAAAAGTCATCAGAGGTTATGCCCTTAATGTTATACAATATCTCAAATTGGGAATTTTTTAAATCTTTAGAAACATGCTGATAAATGCATCCACTACATTTTTTAGGTGCTATGATTGCCTAGGGGAGTTTTTGAGGTGTAACTGGTAGCGACATTGGTTCAAATCTACGAGAAGGTCCTTGGGAGAAAGATGGTCAGTCTTTCCTGTTACAGCCTAGGAATTCATCAAGGATCAAAACTGATTGGATAACAGTGAGCTGAGTTGTTGCCGACTTGTGGTTGTGTAATGATTAAGTTCTCAGCTATTAATTGAGAGGTTGGTAGTGTGAACTTATCAGAAGCTCAACAGGAGAAAAGACCTGGTGATCTCTGGCACAATTTATTTCCAAAATAACCTAGTGCAATAGAGTTTATTCTAACTTGCTGAGACTGTCCATTAGGTTCTAAAGTTGCAAATATTTAGAGGAGACTGTTTTTCTTTCTTCCGGTGAGCAGCTTTCTAGTGGATTCAAACCACTGTACTTTTGAGTAGCAAGCTTGGAAAACCCACTGGGCAAATCTACTCTGCCTATTCTATGGAGCTACTATGTGTCAAAATCGCCTTGATGACATTCAATAACAACAACAGTAACTCTATAGACAAGTCAGTTGAGATTGAGAACATTAAATGATCTTTCTTCAGGCAAGGAAAGAGTGTGGCAAGTCAGAACAAAACCTCCAGCTGTCACAAATGAATCACTTTATATCTTGAGTGTTTGCTGCATTGTCTAATCTTTTCAGCTTTGAGTCTACAAAAATGTTTGACCTTTGTAAGTACTCACTGCATTCTATACCTTAGACTACTATTTCAATGCATCAGACCCAAATGAAGGCTGACAGCATATTCTAAACTGATTCTCGCTCAAGTAAAGACTTAAAGCAAAAACACAGTTGAAGAAAAAAATAAAAAAATCTCCTATTGGTACTTACCTCATTACAAAAAAGTTTAACTTTTCAAAAAAAATTTCTTATAGCTTCAGTGATTGATAGCAACTGGAACACTTGGCACTATTAAGGGAGAGAAAAGAGTTTTCAGTGATGTTTTTGTCAATCATTAGAAATATAATCAAACAACATGCTGTTTTTAACATTACAAGTCATAGGCTTAGAATTATTTAGCAAAATTAGAATTTGCTACTCTGTCTTTCAAGAATTAAATTCAGGCCCCGAGGTAAATAATTATGTCTTCCTGTGAGGTTGCTGCTAACAGTGCCATATTTGTGTTTTCATGTCTCTCTTGAGGCTCCAGAAGCAAAATAAAATAAACATGAAAGATAATCTCAACGATCTGGTATATTCATACATTCTAAACCAAAGCATAAGGTTTCAAAGCATGAAGAAAGACTTCTGAATATGTTAGTAATTTATATTCGTGTTCAGTTTATAAATTTATACCTATCATTAGTTTGCTCTACCATTACCAAACCAATGGCTGTCAAGTTGATTCCAATTCAAAGGGACCCAAGAGGAGAAAAGTTAGCAGCCAAGAAAGAATATTAATCACTACACCACCAGGACTCCTTTGCTTACTATTATACTTCCATTTTTCATTAAAGGTACACAATGAATTTAATCTGAAATATTTTAAAAACTCAGAGTCTAAAATAGGGTAGTAAATACTAGTGCTGATTACTGAGGAATGATATATCACATACTTCTTCGTCTTTGCTTGCTACCAGGGAGAAGATGAACTATGGCTGGAGATGAGCTTCTGTCCCTTAATTTTCTCTGCTTTCATCCCCTACAGGTCTCTATCTCCTCTGGACAGCTGAGTTTCCCTCCACTCTCCCTATCCCCACCATCGTGTACACACTAGCCAAATTAAAAGCAAATAAAAGTTCAGGCAATAAATCCATTTATTTAAGTTTTTCAGTACTCTATCAATTTCATAATATTAGACATACTTGATCTTTTGATGCATGGAGGAATTAAGAATTCTGATGGGAGGGTTTCAAATATTGCGTCTGTAATAATAACCTAAGGAGAACTGAAGGATCATTTTTAATTGTTCCATATAATGTTTTTCCATAATACAAACTATTGGAGGGACAAAAGGATTGGCTTGGCTTGGATAGAAAATTACTAAGTAACAGATGCTAAATTTTAATTGCTCCCTGGGTAATCTATATGCATGTTTTTGACATCACAGAGTTCTAAAACCCTGTGTTTCTTCCCTCTCCTCAAACCATCTCTTCATAAAAACTTCTCTAGGGAAAGAACATTGACGTATATTGTTATATGCCTAGGACAAAAATTGACACATTGTAGATACTCATCAAGTGACTGTTGAATGAATAAAAGAAAATTAGTTTGATATGACAACATATATGAGATAAGATGCATTAAGATAAAAATAATGTCAAGATGACAAAATATATGAAGCATAGCCAAACATTTTTCGCTGATTGAACTTTTCTGGGTTCAATGTTGTCCATCTACATATTATATTACAAATAAATAGTGTTTCATATTGGAGTTGATCATTATGACATATAAAGGTGTGAAATGGCAATAGCACTTTTTGAATGAAATGACCTCTGGGTTATTTCTTTCCAAAATACCTATTCAATATTTCTGAGGCAGAAGTGATTTACCTGCGAGTACCAGGAAACCACCAAAGAAATTAAACTTCAATTTCTCCAACTTATTTCAGAACAAGCTGAAGGAAGGTAATACAGGTTTTTATTTCTCCTAAACCACCTGAGCAATTTCTGGTTCATAACGCCACGAGATTAAATGCAGATTTTAAAGGCAGAACACAAAAATATGCAGGCTCAAATTGCAGCTGACCTTGATGAGTTAGGAGAATGCTGGAAATTATTTTGCGAAATTTTATTATTTCTATACATTCCTTCCTCCTCTATTAATTACATCATAATGATGTACGTAAACCACTTTCAAAAGAAAAAAACCCCAAACACCCAGAATAAATCTTTCAAGGTAAAGCTTTATCTTAAACTACCTAGTTTGCACCAACCCAGTGTTCCCCCAGCAGTGCAGAAGAGTAAAATGCAGTCTACCGTTACTATAAAAGCTTCCTAATAAGAAAATGCTCCCAATTAAAAATATATCTTTGTTCAAATAAAAATAATGAACTACGAGCCAAGAAAGGCAGAAGAGTACATTCTTTGCAGAACTTAATTCCAGGAAGCTACCTGCTTCGCTTTACAACAGTTTTAATTAAAATACACATCTTTAAAATAAAAAAAAGAAACAAAATTTAGCATTAAGCACTTCATATCTTCAAAATCTCTGAATAACGTTTTCCACTAGCCACATCCACAAAGTTAAAAAAAAACAAAACACGAGAGCAAAAGATGAATATATCCTCCCTGCAAGAATTTTGTAACACGAGAGCATATTACTGTCCTCTTACCTCCAGTGCAGAAAAATGCAGCGAGGTTAGCGGATTTCTTTGCTTGCAGCTTGGCTATCATAAAATGGAAAGAGCATCTAGTTTGCTCATTTCTAATTTTTCTAAACCGTGCAACGTGTATCTAAGACCCTGTCTCCTTCGCTGGACGGATAACCTGGAAAAAGCTCCGCCCGCAAAGTGAACGCCTGGAGCAGGGGGGACAGTGACTGAGTGGCCGCTCCTCCCTCTCGGTGACGCTCCACTTCCTGTTGGCTTAGAAGGCAGTTCCCGAGAAGCTTGGTTTTGTAGTTCCCAGCCTACCTTCAGAAGACAGTCAATCCTTTCTTCCCCAAGGTAACAACTTTTAATCATTCACGTGACGGACCACATGACCTTCCCCAAACAATTCCCCCGGAAAAGGCGCTGGGAGGAACGTTTCTAAGTCCGTGGGCAAGGGGAGAAGCCTGCTGGGCTCGCCTCTCTGCTACTCGGAATAGCCCGGAGTCTCACCCACGGACGGGCTTCTCCCTGACCTTCCCTGGGACCCACAATGAGGTTCTGCCAAGAATTACATCCGCCCCTGCTGCCCCAGGATGACCTGGAAGCGAAAGGGACATGTATGAAGCCAACATTTTAAATTTCCGCAGCTAGAGATTGTTGTAGAAGAATTGCATTCACCAAACCTCAATTCAAAACGTTCTCATAGGAGCATTCTTCAGCAGTCTTCTTTCAAATACACTTAATATTTTTTCTTTCGAAAGAGATATATTGATTGCCTCCTGAGTAGCAGACCAGGGTCAGGCTCTGTTTTGAAGGATTGGAGTGTATCAGTAGTGTTTGCTGTCCTGATACATCATTGCACTTTCTGCTGACTGGCACAACAAAAGCTTACGTCGTCGCCTCGTGGATTTTAAAGAATTGCCTCCTCATGCAACATAATTATCAACGGGGAAACCTGGGGAAAAGACACGTGCAGGACACTAGTTTATCTAGGAACATTGGTATTACACGGTTGGGCTGGGTGTGAGCGGGGTCTCAACCTTCCATCCAGTCCAGTCTACAGGACTGTCACCTAGAATTTATTTCCTTAGACCAGGACTCCATTCCAGGTTAACTTCTCAGGCCTATCCCCCCACTCCAGCCCCAGCCCCCAGCCCCCTGCCTCCAAGCAACCACTGAGCGGTGGAACAGGACTTGACCATAAGCCCCGCCCACAACCATGTAAGACCCGCCCCCTCGCTCAGCCTCCCCTCTTTCCCGTCCCAGGGCGCGTTGCGCGACTCCGGCCGGAAGTCTATGAGTTCCTGGTTGTGTGTCTGTCTGGAAGAGGCTCGAGGCCGGGAGTAGCGCTAGGAATTCCTGCGTGACCTACCACCACTGTCACTGTCACCACCGTACGGAACCACTTCTAGAGGGGAGTAGACCCGGCCTGTCGCCGGGCAGAGAAGATGTTACCCTTGTCCATCAAGGACGATGAATACAAACCACCAAAGTTCAATCTGTTCGGCAAGATCTCGGGCTGGTTTAGGTGCGGGGTGCGGTGCTCGGGGAAAGGGGGTGCCCGGCAGTGGGGAAGAAGGCCCAGGTGGCGCGAGGCCAGGAAGGGACTCCCATGCCCTTCCTCTGCGTAAGGAGAGGAACGTGTGGATTGGGGGGATCTTGAAGGGAGGATGCAGCTCCGGGGTCCCAGATCCCCCTTGACTCTCCTGGCTTTTCCCCACTTGTCTTGTCCAGGTCTATCCTTTCGGACAAGACGTCCCGGAACCTGTTTTTCTTCCTGTGCCTGAATCTCTCTTTCGCTTTTGTGGAACTGCTCTACGGCATCTGGAGCAACTGGTAACCAAAGGGGAGGGGGGGAAGGGGTTGGGGCGGAAGCAGGGGGTTGAGGAAATGAAAAACTGTTTGCTTAGTGCCACGTAGCTCCACATCAGGAGCTGCAGGTCTTACTCTGGCACCACCTTTGCTGCTGTCAGGCAGCAACAGTCTGTTTTAAGGTCTGGATCCCTTCCTTTGTAGTAGCCCCCTCCATCAGACAAAGTGATTGGTCCTCTCCTCCTTTTGATAGGTAGGGGAAGTCCCTCATATCTAATTTTGCATATCTTAGCTTCATCCACTTGGAATTGAGAGAAACCTGTGCCCTGCCCCTCCTTTTTTAAACGAGGGGGAGTGGCATATGGATTTGACCCTTAAGATTCTGAGAGGGACTGTCTGAGGTATATTAGTCTTAAATTGCTATTAGGCTTTGCAATGAGGAAGACGTTTATAAAAGAAATGTCTAGAAGAATATGTATGATTCTTTTTAAAGTTGAAACTGACCAATGCCTTTTTCTAGTGTTGACTGTAGTAGAAAATTCCGTGTCATTTTCTAGTGGCTTAAATCTTTTGAGTTGATAGTTTGTGGTGTCAGCTTTGGATCTTTTCTGAAACTGCTTTGGTAAGAGGAGTATCTACCTTATGCAGTGTATTTGCTATTGAGTAACTAAGGATTTTATGATTGTTGTAGGTGTGCTGGTTTGTCTTTAGGTTTCTTACTCATTTGAGAATGTGATGAAAGCCTACAAAGAATTTTACATAAATCCACTCCTCCTAAATTATGACATGCAATATATATGTACTAATTATATTAAGACTGTGTGTTGACTGATGTATACATGCTTTCTTATAGTTTCTTTACTTTTTAGACTTGTCATTTTAATTTGACCTTTCATATGGTATAAGTTACCATATGAAATAACTAGTTCAAGGGATTCATATTTGAAATCCCTAAACTATCTCCTTAATGGACCATTATATATCTCCTAGTTCCTTTGGTAGTACTTGAAATCTTAAAAGCATGCAGTGGCCATCTAATACAAGTGGTTCCCTTTATCTGGAGCATCATGGGAAGACAGGAAAGTGAGAGATAGGGGAAAGATGGGAAATGTATGGTTCATTGTCTCTGTGAACTACTACTGCCTCTTTTGCTGTGAGACAAGAATCAGGTAATGCCTAGCTTTAAAAGAGGCTTTCGCATTAGGGATATCATTGCCAATGTCAGTTGGATCTTGACTGAAAGCAGAGAGTACCAGAATAATGTCTAATCGTGTTTTATGGACTATGCAAAGGCATTTGATTGTGTGGATCACAACTAATAGTGACTAACATTCAGAAGAATGAAAACTCAGAACACTCGATTGTACTCAGTCAAAACATATGTTTAGACCAGGAAGCAGTCATCAGACCAGAGCAAGAAAATACTGCATAGTTCAAAATTAAGAAAAGAGTGTGCTAGGAGTGTGTACTTTCTTCATACCTTTTCAAGCTACTGGTCCATCAGACCATTTGGGAAGCTGGATTTTATGGTGATGAATTTGGCATCAAGATTGGAGGAAGACTCATCAACAACCAGCATTATGCAGATGACACAATGTTGCTTGCCAACTGAGGAGGACCTGAAGCATTTGTGACAGAAGGTCAAGCACTGCATTCTTCAATATAGATTGCATTTCAACATCAAGGAAACAAAGATTCTTGCCACTGGGCCAGTTGGCAGCATCATAATAAATGGAAAAGAAATTTGAGAAGTTTTATCTTGCTCAAGTCCATAATAACACTCTTGGCACCAGCAGTCAGGAAAGCAGAAGACTTAATTGCTTTGGGAAAGTTTGCTGTTAGGGACCTCTCTAGAGTGCTAAAGAGCAACGATGCCAGTCTAGAGACTAAGATATGCCTGATCCAAGCCATAGTCTTAAAAGTTACTTGCTATGCGTCTGAGAGCTGGACAATAAATAAGGATAATGAGAATAATCAATGCCTTTGAGTTGTGTGGAGAGGAGTATTGAATATACCATGAAATGCCAAGATAATAAACAGGTCTATCCTGGAAGCTGTGGAACCAGATTACTTCTTGGAGGCATGGATTGTAAAGCTTTATCTCACGTACTTTGGGCATGTTGCCAGAAAGGACCAGTTCTTGGGGAAGGACATCATGCCTAGAAGGGTAGAGAGTCTGTGCAGCAGAGGAAGACCTGGCTAAAATGGATTGACACAGTAACCGAGCTATTTGGGGTAGGTGTGTTGGACACATTGAGATTGGCTCAAGATAGGAAAGGATTCAGAGCTTTTGTTCATAGGGTCACTATGAGTTTTAGTCAACTCGATGGCATATAACAACAGTTCCGTTAGTGAGAATTTTAAGCAAAGAGTTTATAAAAGAATCCTAATCAAAAGTGGTAAAATGTAGAACAGAATTTCAGATTTTTAGAAAATTCAAACTTTGTGGAACTAGACGGGCTGGATAAAACCCAGAAGCTATAGCCCTGAGATAATCCTGAAACCTCAAACAAAAAAATGTTCGCTGAAATCTTAAGACCAAACAATAAATTAGTTCAACTATGTGTAAAAAAAAGTCAGCCGTGAGCATTATATTCCTTTATTGTTGTTATGTCCCATTAAGATGTTAACAACTTGTAGCTGATTTTCTAGAAGGTTTTCAGAGGCAGTAAATTGCATGGGAGGAGATGGTGCATCTTTCTTTCACAGAGCAGCTGGTGAATTTGAACTGTGTGCCTTTGGGTTGGCAGCTCAGCTTCTTACTACATAGCCACCAGACCTCCCTGATAATCTTTTTAAACTACCTATCTTAAAACATTTAATCATGCTAATGCGAAATCTGTACTTGGACCAGGAGGCAGTCGTCAGAACAGAGCAGGGTAACACTGCATGGTTCAAAATTGGGAAGGGTGCACGCCAGGGATGTGTCCTGTCTCCATACCTTTTCAGCCTGTATGCAGAGCAGATTATCCGGGAGGCTGGGCTCTATGAGGAGAATTGTGGCATCAGGATTGGTGAAAGATCTATTAACAATCTACGTTATGCAGATGACACAACCCTCTTTGCTGAAACCGAGGAGAACCTCATGCACTTGCTGCAGAGGGTCAAGGACTGCAGCCTTCAGTATGGACTGAGGCTCAATGACAAGAAGACAAAGATTCTCACCACTGGACCAATTGGCAGCATCAGGATGGATAGCGAAGAGATTGAGAGTGTTCACAGCTTCAGTTTGCTCGGCTCCACGGTCAACACTCTTGGCACCAGCAGCCAGGAAATAAAAAAACGTATTGTGATGGGAAAGTCTGCTGTTAGGGACCTCTCTAAAGTACTCAAGGGCAACGGTGTCTCTCTGGAGACTAAGGTGTGTCTGATACAGGCCATGGTCTTTGCAATCATATGTTATGCATTAGATAATGACTAGGGAGGACAGAAGGAGAATTGATGCCTTGAGCTGTGGTTCTGGAGAAGAGTATTGAATGTACCATAGACTGCCAAGAAAACAAACAGCTTCAACCTAGAGAGGGTTAAACCAAGCTACTCCTTGGAGGCAAGGATTCTGGGGCTTCTGACATACTTTGGGCATGTTGCAAGGAGGGACAGGTCCTTGGAGAGGGACATCATGCTTGGGAGGGTGGAGGGACGGCGCAAGAGGGGAAGACCCTCTATGAGATGGATTGATTCAGTGACTGGGGCAATTGGGATGGGTGTGTCAGAGGCAATGTGATTGGCACAGGATAGAACAGGGTTTAGGGCTGTTGTACATAGGATCGCTATGAGTCGCAAACGACTCGACGGCACATAACAACAACAACAACCTTAAAACGCTTACTACAAAGGAGTAAAGACTGCAGCCTTCAATATGTATTCTGTCTCAACATCAAGAAGACATCTTCACCACTGGACTGGCACATCATGACACATGAAAAATAGGTTGAAATTGTCAACATTTTCATCTTACTTGGATCTACAGTCAGAACCATTGGTACCAGTAATCAGGAAGTCAGGAGACATTGGATTGAGTAAAACCACTGTCAGGGATCTCTCCAAATTACTGAGAAGCAGTAATGTCAGTTTGAAGACTAAAGTGTTCCTGATTCAGGCTATAGTCTTTTCAGTCACTTGCTATCCATCTGAGAGTTGCACAATGAATAAAGATGACAGAAAAGAATTGATGCCTTTTGAGGTATAAGAGAAGATCTGTTAACAATCTGCGTTATGCAGATGACACAGCCCTGCTTGCTGAAACTGAGAAGGACCTGAAGCGCTTGCTGCAGAGGGTCAAGGACTGCAGCCTTCAGTATGGATTAAGTCTCAGTGTCAAAAGACAGACTCTCACCACTGGACCAATTGGCAGAATCAGGATGGATGGTGTAGAGATTGAGATTGTTAACAACTTTAGTATGCTTGCCTCCACAGTCAACACTCTTAGCACCAGTAGCCAGGAAATCAATGTATTGCAATGGGAAAGTCTGCTGTTAGGGACCTCTCCAAAGTACTGACGAGCAATGGTGTCACTCTGGAGACTAAGGTGCATCTGATACAGGTCATGGTCTTTGCATTCACTAGTTATGCATCAGAGACTTGGACAATGACTAGGAAGGATAGAAGGAGAATTGATGCCGTTGAGTGTGGTGCTGGAGAAGAGTATTGAGGGTACCATGGACTGCTAAGACAACAAACAGATTCATCCAGGAGAGGGTTAAACCAAGGCTGCTCCTTGGAGGCAAGGATTCAGGGGCTTTGTCTGACATACTTTGGACATGTTGTAAGGAGGGACAGGTCCTTGGAGAGGGACATCATGCTTGGGAGGGTGGAGGGACAGCACAAGAGGGGAAGACCCTCTATGAGGTGGATTGATTCAGTGACTGAGGTAATCGGGATGGGTGTGTCAGTCGCAGTGTGATTGGCACAGGATAGAGCACGGTTTAGGGCTGTTGTACATAGGGTCACTATGGCACAACAACAATAACATTATTAGAGAAGAGCACAAAATATCTCATGGACTGCCAAAAGAACAAATATTT